AGTTAAAATATCGGAAGAAGAAGAAGAAGAAGAAGAAGACGAAGTCTGTGCGGTTGTGAACAGGCTTCGGAACGGGGAATACCACGCTCGAATTTGAACGCGGCGTCGTAGCCCGCCAAAGGGGGACCCCATTTCTTGGTGGCTGATCTCAGCGACTGATCTTTGCAGATCGGCGACTGGAACAGTCGTCGAGAAGACCTTCCCCGCCCCCTAAAACTGGTCGTAGATCAAAAACAAAAACAAAACTTGTGTTGCTGGAGGCTGGGGAGGCGACCACTAGTCGAAAAAGGCATCCTCCCCCCCCCGCACAAAATTGTGCTGGGCTCGCCTGGCCACAAACCGGGGCACCCAACTGGCCGGGCTGCCCGGGACCCCTGCCAGACGAAGGCCAGGCCACCAGACGGTCCGGAGTTTAACACAGGAATGAAGGGAAAATTATAGAAGATTATTTGGTACTCAACAGTCGTTGCTGGAATGCAGTTCTATGGACCACACCTGTTGTCTTTTCAGCTGAAATTGAAGTGACAGCAGGTTGGCGCACAGTGGTTCCATAACAGGATATCAACCCATACCTCCCCATCTTCAAAGGCAGCCACCGATTTACCCTTGATGGGTGCCTGTGTGCAATGGAAAGGAGGGGGCTCATGACCTTCCGCGGTGGTGATAAGCTTCCTACCAAAGCAGCCGTGGGTGCCCCCATTTTGGGGACTTAGCGTGAAGCTGAGCAGAACATGCCTGCAGTAAAATGAGACATGAAGGGCCGGTTAGTGGAGACCGCCGATTTGTAATACTGGTTCAAAAACGAACAGTTCATTCCCCCGCGAAGTGACAAAATGGGGAACTAAGTTTGAAAAGACAACAAGGAAACGAAAAATGCGTAACGCCACAATTTCCCCAGCCCTTCCGATTAAGCAAAAGCCGCAATCTGAAAAACAGCGCTAACTTTTCTTTTCTTAATTTTCTTTGCCGGCTGTGTTACTTTATGAACACTAAGTATGCGTGTTCGCATACATACACACACATTCAGTTCCCCCGCGCACACGTTCAAATGCGTTGAAACGCGCCATGAGGCGGTGAACGGGAGAAAAATGAAGGTGCGGGCGGGGCTGGGACGTGCACGGTGGGGGCTGCGTGGGGGCCTGCTCTATTTGCGTGGTTTGGGAGTGGGTATTGGG